GTGTATTACATAGTTTGTAACGAGAAAGAGTAAGCTAGTTTTAATTAAGATAGAACTCGTATCGCTGAAGTTTCTCAGAAAGAATTTTTACGGGAAATTAACAAATAAGCAGATATATAACAATACTTTAAACGCCGAAAGCTGGCGAGGCCTAAAATTTACTTAACACTAATTATTTAAAGATAATACAAAATAATCATTGTTAAAAATGCTCAAGTCAGAGTAGCTTTTAGTTTACAATGATAATTTGATCTTCACCATAATATTTATTTTATCAGTATGGAATAGTAGAACAGCGCTGTTATTTAATATGCGTCCAATGATATGAACCGATTAATATTTTATTTAAAAGAAGAATCGTCATTGTTCTAAGAATTCGAAATAATGTAACTTGTAACTAATTGAAATTTACATATTAATTAATGAAGAAAATCTCGAAAAAGTGAAAGCAAGCATTGTTTATCAATTTTTGATTAGTAAATTTGCAAAGAATCATGTTGAAATGAGCGACAATATTTGTAGTACGTTCGGGAATTATTTCTTGGAAGTTGATCATAAAATAAATAATATACAATCAAGACTAAAGACTGGTTGTGTCTATATTTTACAAAATGGAACACTAAACAAAGAAAGCGTGTTGGCCCGGCATGGCCAGGTGGTTAGGGCACTCGACTCGAAATCTGAGGGTCGCGGGTTCGAATCCCCGTCTCACCAAACATGCTCACTCTTTCAGCCGTGGGGGCGTTATAATGTGACGATCAATCCAATTATTCGTTGGTAAATAAGGAATAGTCCAAGAGTTTGCGGTGGGTGGTGATGACTAGCTGCCTTCCCTCTCGTCTTCCACTGCTAAATTAATGACGGCTAGCGCAGATAGCTCTCGTGTAGCTTTGCGCGATATTCAAAACAAACAAGAAAGCGTGTAAACTACTTGAAAACATGTGTTTTAGATTACCAGAGGCAGAATAGAGGGATTTAGATAGTTATTATTATTCTCGTTAAATATATATTTATTCTTACTTGCGGGCACGAGCCTGTTTATCACAAGATATTTCAGTCTCCATGAGCAGTTAAAGTTTGAACTTTGGTTCACATCTTTTATCTTATGTACAATGACAGGGCTTATTGTTTTCTTTGTGAAGATTAAGAGATTGGCACGAGTATGGAAATCGTTCATTAGATACTCTAATTTTAGATTATAAACTAGATATGTGTTACTTTTCGCAAAGGAGTCTGAACAAGGGGATCGGGGAAGGCTCCCTCTCAATACAGAGGGCTAACACACACACTTCATCCCCCCCGTAAGTTTCTATTTTTCTAATTTGAATGAGGTTCAAAATTGAACCGACTTTTAATAAATGGATTCAAAATATATTTCACTGCTACAGATAAGGAGCCAAAGGATAAGATAAACAGGTATAAAATAAAAAGTCAGTTAAAAAGATAGTTATTAAAAGACATATTTTCCAGTTAATTTCGTTTATGTTTTTCCCTGATTTCCATCATATATTGATCCCCACTGTGTCAAAATAGGCCCACATTTTCATTTTAATTGCAAAAATGTTTTGTTGGACCATGCTCCGAACTCCTAATTTCAGCTCATCTGACAAGCTGGATTCACCTCCAACTATGCCCCCACTCCACCACACACACATTTTGTTCCAGCTTCTATGTATGGGTAAGGTAACTTTAAATTAGAATAAATAATAAGTGGCCGAATAATCATTGTTAACGATGAATGGTTCAACATGTGTTCGTCATTGTAGAGTTATCAATATGATGAATATTCTGTTAGTGTCCGTCAGTCAGTCAGTAGTCAGTGTAGAGTTATCAGTATGGTGGATATTCTGTTATTGTCCGTCAGTCAGTAATTATAAGTGCGAATGGCTCTGTCTGTATCCGTCAGTCTACAATTATCAATATGATGGTAAATTCTCTGTTTGCCCCTCTGTCTGGAATTATCAATATATAGGCTAGTTTTTTGTGTGTCCGTAACTCTGGTGTTATTAACGTCATAGGTTTTTTTCTGCTATTTCAATGTATTGTTTCCCTTACAATTTTATGGTATTACTATAATAACCATGTTTAATTTTACACTAAATATTAACTTGAAAATTGGATTGAAAATACATATGATAATAATAGTGTATAACTTAACCGTACACTGATAATATCTTGAAAGATCCAGCGACTCAAAACTGTTGGTTTCCAGCTCACAAAAATCAACCTGATTCAAATCTACGATTAACCCTCTTCTCAGGGGTTTTCCTAGGGTGAAGTTGGTCACAAATTGTGCACCTGTAAAAATATTTGTACAGTTGAAAATTCACCTACATAATTAAGTTCAAGAGGATAAATATAAAACAAAATATTTAAGATTATAAAATTCCATTCCAGAGTTCATTAATAAATGTATTTACTATAATATTCTTCATTTTTTGGATCATTTGTTACTGGGCCTATATATGTGAGGTTTAGTAAGGCTTCATGTATTAAAATGATTAAGTTAAAATATGTTTGTGCAGTTGAAAAAAATCCTTAATAAAAGTTCTGCCTCTTTTTTCAGTTTTCTTTTTTTTTTTTTTGTAGAACACTAATCATTTTACTAACTTGTAATACCAAATACATTTTAACATTTTGTTATAAATAATGTTACATATAAACACGTAACCTCGTTTTACAGTATAGAAAATGGTAATCGTGTTGTTATATTTACTTCCCAAGAAAAATACGCCGCGTCTTTTCAGGTGTGGAAACCTGTTTGTATTACTTATACATTATTTGCTTCTAGGTAACATACGCAACCACGCCTACACCCCAAGTTCTGTGAACTTCCACCGACAACGTGCTGTCTTAGATTTGCATGAAGACTGCATTGTTTCTGAAATTTAAGATGTGCTCAAACGAAACAAGTAAATTAGAACCCAATAACGTGAAAATTGATATTGTATTGTTGAAAATTATTTTATTTCACTACAAGCTGAAGTACTCATCCCCTGGACGGAAGTTATGTAAGTTCATGCTTAATAAAAGGTTATCTTAGGACATGAAAATTTGCTTTCGTAAAAAAAAACACGTAAACACGCCCATAACAACTGCAAAATACAAAATATGAAGTTGATATTTGTATGTATCTTCCCATGAACCCAATGAACCTCCATACCGAATTTGGTGAAGATCGATGTACAGGAGAAGTGGTTACATGGACATACAACAGACAGTACTATTATATTTATATATTTCTTTGACGTGAAAGACCCCAAACTAAGAACTTCTGAATGAGCTAATAAATTGACCATGATTTAACATCACTCAAAACATAACTTTATAATTTACATGTTATGAACTGATAAAATTCTCAACATGTAACATAGAAAACTTCATATTGAGCTATATCGCAAACCTAGGGCTGACGTCTATCTTTTGTATATACAACACCTGACCAATTAAACCTCGTTACCGGCACCACAAGCGGTGCGGTGGTCACGGTAAACTAAGATGGTACAAACATACAAACTATTGCGTGTATTGAATGAAAAACACATTTACCATTTAAACATAAAACACTAAGCTTAATGTTTTTTTTGTTTGCTTAAACAGTATTTAGCATGGAGAGAATTATAGCGTTAAACGTAAATATATGATCCTATTTATTATATAATGTTAAACGTTATGTATACGATCCTACATATTATATAGTGTTAAACGTTATTTATACGATCCTATCTATTATTTCATGTTAAACGTTATTTATACGATCCTATCTATTATATAGTGTTAAACGTTATTTATACGATCCTATCTATTATTTCATGTTAAACGTTATTTATACGATCCTATCTATTATATAGTGTTAAACGTTATTTATACGATCCTCTATATTATATAGTGTTAAACGTTATTTATACGATCCTCTATATTATATAGTGTTAAACGTTATATATATATACGATCCTCTATATTATATAGTGTTAAACGTTATATATACGATCCTATATATTATATAGCGTCAGACTAGATATCAGTTTACTCAAAATACTCAAAGAGATAAACAAGTATGGTCAACTCATTTGGAGTCGAGTATTTCGTGGTTTTAAATTAAAGTGCAAATAATTTGTTTTACTAGTTTCGTTCAGGTGTTTAGGTGTTCACAAGCGATACGCCCGGGTTTTAAGAAACGGCGCTGTATAAGTGTTAAACATGACATCAGACTGCAGACACCAGTTTGAAGAAATTAATTAAATTAAACTGATCAGGGGTCGGAAATGACGTCACAAGACCACTGAGCTAGTTGCTTCTTCCTAGGAACAAGCCATGTTAACAGACAGACTGCAACTTTTATAGTTAAGCGAACAGTAGTTACGGTGTTTCGGGTAATTTACGATTCTGTTTCGGACTAGTGTGTGTGTGTGTTTTTTACTCGTAGAGAGCGAAGTTATCGAGATTGTGAATCGCTGTGATTTATAAAAGTTGTTAAGTTTAGAGTGACGAGAAACGTACTGATAGTGGGAATTACTGTATACTAAAAGTTTGTATCGAGAAAGAATAAACTGGTTTAATCATGAAAGGACTTGTATCGCTGATGTTCCTCGAAAAGAATTTCTACCGGAAATTAACAAACAAGCAGATACGCAACATTACAATCAAGATACAACTCAGTTAAAGAGACAAGTCATATTGACAACAATCAAGATACAGCTGAGTTACAGACTAACCACGTTGATTACAACCAAGATATTGAAATTTGTTTGTTTGTTTGTTTTTAATTATGCACAAAGCTACAAAAGGGCTATCTGTGCTCTGCCCACCACGGGTATCGAAACCCGGTTTCTAGCGTTGTAAGTCTGCAGACATACCGCTGTGCCACTGGGGGGCAGATATTGAAATATCAACATTGTAGTATTTAAAAGTACTTGAACTCTTCTTGTTTACAATTTCTAGACTTCATGTAGGTTATGGCTATTCTCTTCAAAATGCTCATTTGCTTTTTCAATCCCGCTGGCTTTTCTCGCCAGGCGTATATACTAATAAAGAGGCTTCGACAAAATTCGAGGAGTTCCCTGATAATTCGAGAAACTCAATCACGTATGGCCGAGCAGCGTCACGTGACTTCCGCTGTCGTAACACTGCCCTTTCCTTAGTATTATTCGACCCCAACAATAGCTACTTACATTAAACCAATAAATAATTAACAATAACTTAATTAAATGTACAGGATTTACAAACACAAAATTAAAATACAACAAAGTCTCTTAAATTTACAGGACGTTTCTTCTTTCGTACTGGTCTCCGTCTCATTGGCTTCTGCTTCACATGGGATTCATCTGCTCCATCAGGAAATGTCCCATTATCGGTAACAGTCACATCAGTGGTAGTAACTTCATTAACGGCTTCACTGTTTTCCTTCTCAAAACCGGGTAGAATTTCTTCTCCAACAGTGGCGTTTTCAAGTGACACATCTGAGAGACGATCCACTATGTCACATGGGCCTTCCCATGGAGAAAACAACTTAGGAGACTTCCCTTTGGTCTTCCTGGGATTATACAACCACACCTTGTCTCCTGGTACAAAGCTGACTTCAGTAGATTTCTTATCATAACATAGCTTCATGGAATCAGCAGACGTTTCTAAGTTTGAACGCACTTGATGATGAATATCATCCATCCTTTCAGATAACATTTTCACGAACTCTGTCACACTTCCAGGCAACTTTTCGTAAGGTGGGCGTCCTGTTATCAGATCCACTGGCAACTGAAGTTCTCGACCAAACATCAGCTTTGCTGGAGTGTATCCAGTGGCTTCATACTCTGCTGTTCTATAGGCCATCAAAAGTGGAGGGAGTAAGACATCCCAGTCATATTGGCGGCTATTACAAAACTTTAGCAATTCCTGTCCAAGTGTAATTTTCTACCATCCCATCAGACTGTGGATGGAGTGGCGTTGTCCTGGTCTTTCATATGCCAAACTACTTGCAGCATTCATGGAACACAGCTGATTCAAAGTTACGGCCTTGATCCGAATGCAGTTCGTATGGCATACCAAATCTGAAGAAGAAATCACTAATAGCCGAAGCTACAGTTGTAGCTTCCTGATTTGGTATTGCATATGCCTCAAGCCACTTGGTGAAATAAGCCATCACCACACAAATGTACCTGTTTCCAGCACGAGTTGGGGAAAAGGCTCAGCAATGTCAATGGCTACTCTTTCCATTGGTGCGCCAACTTGATATAACTTAATTGGAGCATGTCCCTTATGCTTGGGTCCCTTTTAGCACAACATGTACTGCCGGCCCTGCACCATTCTTCCACATTTTGCCTCATACCTATCCAGAAAATCTCTGTCGTAGGTGACTCAATGTCTTCTTAACTCCGAAATGTCCTCCTGTTAAACTATCATGGGATTGACGCAGCACAACTTCCCGTAACTTTCTCGGTATAACTGTTTCCCAGGTCGTCACTTTCCCATCTGCAGTTTCTCATCTCTGGAGAAGAATACCATCTTCAAGCTTCAACTGGTCCCATTGTGTCCAATAGTTCTTTGTCACAGGGCTTAAACTAGACACCTTCTCCCAAGCAGGGCGCAAAACACTTGCTTCTAGAAAATCAATTATTGGCTTCAAATCTTGGCCTTTCTCCTGCTCTACTTTAATATCTATACTTGGTTCCACATCAACTCCTTCAGTCACTCTGACTTCAGCTTGATAACACCTGGTTAGTTCAACCTCTCTTTTGCAGCAATGTCTGCAGTCATTTTTGCAGGGTCTTCGGCTCAGTCCATCAGCATTACCATGGGATTTTCCTTCTCTATATTGAATACTATAATTATACTGGTCTATTTTCCTGATCCAATGTGCCAGTTGTCCCTCTGGGTTTTTTAATGATCTTAACCAGCGTAGTGCAGTATGGTCTGTCCTGATGGTAAACCTAACCCCCATTGAAGTAAGGATAGAAATATGTCAGACTCTTTACTGTAGCAAGGAGTTGCTTCCGTGTTACACAGTAGTTCCTCTCTGGTCTACTCAGGACCCTACTGAAGTGGGCCACCACATGTTCGTTTTCACCCACTTTCTGAGACAACACTCATCCAATTCCGACATTACTAGCATCACAATTCAGCCATTTTCACTTGATGGAAACCCGACTTTAAGTCCAGAGTTGAAACCCACCTGGTTCCACTTAGGGCATCAAGAGTATCATCAATTCTTGGTAGTGGGTATGAGCCCTTTTCGGTTCTACTGTTAAGAA